CTCGCCTTAGTTTGCCCTAAAAACTCATTAGAGTACAATGCGCTCCCTTTCTAACCTATGTTAAAGTTCAATTAGCGTGCTTTTAAATACAGGTAACGTTTCTGCCATTAAAGTTTCTGAGAGCAGTTGCCCCCTCCCCCAAAAGTCAACTTATTTTGCATTAGTGTGCCTCGAATAATTTAATGCTCTACAGTTTTCTTATTCATGCTTATTTGTAAAACAGTCTCCTGCTTGTCTTAAAGGGGCATAAAAAAGGCGGGTTTGGCGGAGCCAAGGTGAAAACTGACTTTGCTGCCATTGAGGCAGCGGCCAACGAGGAAGCCAAACGACTGGAAATGCTTCAACAGCGGCAAACACAACAACAGAAGGCCACTACCGCCCCCATGACGGAAGAAGAGGAAACTCGCAGGATGTGAGTAATCCTTTCGTCTTTTTCAGTCCCTTTATCTCAAAGTTTACGGCCAATTGCTTATTTACTGGGGTGTTTCTAAGTCGTTCTCACATGCTCTGTTCTAATTATATTCCTGGGATCTGCACATTGAATCCGGATCATTTTTTTCAGTAATCTGTGAGAACTCTGAACTGACCTTAGACGCCTTTCTTTGAATATTAACAGAAGCTGGTGCTTTAACTTTGCATTTATCTTCCCTTCCCCCGTTTGGCGGCTCTTCATGAGCTACATGGAAACGAGCCAGTAATTATAATCTAACTTGGATATTCATCTCAAGTCCGTTTGTTGTCCAGTCCAGTTAATGTGAACTTCAAAGTGAGCAACGCCTGGATTTGATTTATTAAAAGTCCTAATAAAGCAGTACGTTTCTAAATTCATAAAAAACTGCCCGATAACCTATCTAACTTCTATTTCCTTCCAGAATTTCAATGCGTCTGGCTTATCAGGATATTCAAGAAAAGCAAAAGAAAGAGGAAACCATCAAGGATCCCAAAAAAGCAGAGCAGGTAGAACGTTTGGGGATGAGCAACTTAGCTGGCCGAAACAAGTAAGTTCCCTTGTTTAACCTTTTTTTGCCCCAATGTTAAACCTCACATGGGTAGCTAAAAATCAAAAATGAGCATGGTAACAGTTTTTTTTTGTTTTTTCACCGCCGGTCGCCCCGTCATGTAGGATTTGAGGGGCTAGACATTTTATTGATAAATGCCACTTTCTGGCTCCTATTGAATATAACTTGGTCCCAGGAATTGCCTCCCCTCTTCTTCTTCCTCCTCTGCCGGGGATGATGAAAACAATATAATATCTGGACCTCGAATCTTTGCCCATATATTTACGAATGTAATTTATAGGCGTTGGTTCGTCGCTCAGTGTTCAGAATGTTTGAGCCCAACTAGTTGGGACCAGTGTCAGTCCTTCCAATTGTGTACAAAGTTGCGGCTGATCAGCCATTGTGCACTACGGTACATGGACTTGGTGGACGCATATCCGTCCTGATTGGAGGACGGAGTGCGAACTATGCAGTTTTACCTCTAAGCTGACAGTTTAAAACCCACGCAAGCGGTTGTATGGGAACTAGTAGTCCCTAATCGCGGCGAGTCACAAGCAAAGAAAGTGTGCCATCACCTGGGGTTGACTTACCACCGGACAATGACAAATGGTAATAGTTTTAATGTAGGTCATTTTATGGCTATCACCAGGAGGAAATCGAAGGACCAAGTGGTTGAACTCAGGCGCTCTGGTGAACAAGAAAACACCCTAGTACTTTTTATCAGCAACGACTATTCCAGTGTTTCTGTCATTTTCCTCCAACACCTGTCAGTTATGCCAACGGAATTAAAACTGACTACTCCCATCTGCCGATGCTTTTTAGGGCAACTCTTATGCTTACTACCTGCTATTTGACTGTGTCCCTGTGCTGAAAACCTGTGTTCAGAGGCAAGATAAACACCCTTCCGCACAGCTGAGCTACAAGTGGGTGTTTCTGGCTAACTTCTGACATATTCGTCCAAATCATAGTTTCAATGTACACGTATTGGATCTAGCCGACCTCAGTTGAAATGTTGCATTTTAGAAATTTTCGGTCTATCCGGGTCTGTCCCCCAAGCCTGTTCGGCTGCTCGCCCAAGGTTGCATGTTCTGGGACTTAGCTCACTGGTATCTGCGCACAAGGCAGCTGTGAATAAGTGACTTATTTACTGACAGCTTACGCTTCCCATGCCTTATACGGTCACGAGACTTTGCGTTGTTCTATGGCGCGAGCTAAGTGCGCTCCACTGGTATTGCCGTTGCTGATACATGGTTGCTTATTTACCAAGCGCAAGCGTTTACTTGTTTCTCAACTAGCCTTCAATTAAGGCATTCTACTGTCTGCCACCTACAGACGTGTCGGGCAACCAATACCTAAGCCGCCAATCACGGACCTAGTTTTATTTATAACTGCAGTCGTTTGTTAGCTAC